AGGTGTGGAATGGGTTAAGGTCCAATCAGCTTCCATATGCAAATAGTCTTGGAACGCTGGGCGGGACTGCACAAAGCAGCCAGTCAACACAGCCAGTGTATTCTGAGCGGCAGTTTTTCCGGCCTAACACTAAGGAGGTGAAATTTAGAATGTTCATATAGAATGTTCAAACTCAATTATATATAAGGAGAGATTTGGGGTGGGGAATGGTATAGCCCAATCTCAGAAGCTAAACTGGATCGGTAGTTGGATGGGAGACAAGCAAGAAAGACTTTATAGAGGAAGGCAATGGCAAACCATCTCTGCTTAAATTACTTGTCTTGAAAACCCTGTGAGCGTCACCATAGGTTGGCTGTGACATGATCTTCTAAGAAATTTTAATTTGGCCTTTTATGGACTTCAGTTCTTTTTTTAATAGTAAAGGTAAAGGTTTCCCTTCCTTGAAAGCCAGTCAAATACGACTCTAGGGCGTAGTGCTCATCTCTGTTTCCAAGCCGAAGAGCCAGCGCTGTCCGAAGACGTTTCTGTGGTCATGTGGCCGGCATGACTAGACGTCGAGGCGCACAGAACACTTTTGACTAGCAGTAGATAAATAAGTATGAAGTCATTCACTGTTCTTTTCCTGCTCTGTATAACTCTTATAACTTTCAGGAAGTGTTCACATTCATGAATGGGGACAAATCATGTGTTCTTTCTTGAAATATTTCATCAGACACAATGGTTTATTGTAAAGTGCTTCACTTAATGGTTAAAACTAAAAAGTAACAGGTTTTATACCTGGTATAAAACTGCTAGTGCTCAGCATCAATAACTGACAAATATTTATTTGGAAGCAGTCTATACAGTGGAACTTTTTCCCATGCTACTGCGTTTAGGATTTAGGTTTCAGCTACAATCCTAAATAGTTGTATTAAGAACTACATTGCACTTAAGTTTGTGGAACTTCCATGTAGATGCATTTATAACAGTTTCAAAAGTCTGGTATATGATTGTATGAGATTGTCAATTAGGGAATATTTCATTTTGCAGACTGAAAATTTGAGTTGAATAGCTAGAGTTAGCTATTAATGCATGTGTTTAGGATAACACTGTTTTAAGAATTTGTAAAATTTGTTTTAAACTTATTATTTCAGGAGTGGAAAATACGTTTACAAACCCATTATGAATCAGACGTGTTGTCCTCAATATACGATAAGGTAAGATCGTATTATGTTATACATCAAATGTCTACTCTGCCATGAATATTACTGGGTGTGAGGAGGCTGATTAACGCGGCTATATTTCAGCCTAATCAACATTGTGCAGCTGTTTGGGAAACTAGTGGAGATCATCCAGCAGTCTTAAAGGATGGGAACACTCTGCACAAACAATTCTTTAAGGTGCTCTATGAACAAAAATTTTATTCAGAAATATATATTCCACTGAAGTAAGTGCATCTTAATTCCATGTAACGTGTATTAAGTTACTAAGCTGTGCATTTAATGGAAATGATTTGATTCATTCATTTATTTATTATTTATTTATTTAAATTTATAACCCGCCCTCCCCGCGAATGGGCTCAGGGTGGCGTACAGATGGGGCCAATGCCCAATACACAAAACATTAAAACTGCATTTAAAAACATTAAATACAACTTAAGTGCTCGCCATAATATCTAACAAGGGAACAGATGATGTCATCAGGATAGTATCCTTAGTGGCCACAGCTCCATGCAGTACCACCATTTTAGCGCTCACGGCGCGTTTGTAATAAAGGGCTAGGACAGATAGTAATAGTCGTAGACAGATGGTAACAGTCGTGGCAGCTCCTACTCAAACGCCTGATTCATTTTGTATTTCCTTTAAAATTAGTGGATTTGGTTTTGTGGCCGCATAACTGGAAGGTGCTAATGGTGGCAGAACATCCCCTTCCCACAGCAGTTATCTGAGACCCTGGAAGAGGCATTGTAGGGTGACACATGTCAACAAACATTGTTAGGCATAGGGACTGCAGTGAGGAAAGAGAATTGAATTAGAAACTGTGGGTAAAAGAGCAAGGTTAAAGTGAGTGGGAGGAGGCAGATGACCCTGAATTTAAAAGTAGTCCCCCTAAAAAAGTGGCAGTATAAACAACATTTTGATTACATAATAATCAATATGCAGTAAGTAATATGCACTACTGAAGAAAAGAATTACTTTTTATTTATACCTGTTTGCATTGTAACTGTTCACAAGTGGTATTGGCTCACACTGTTTCAAATTTTAAAAGACTTGCTTTTTTACAATGATGCCACCCTCTTCCTCAAAGTAGAACTATTAGACTTAGTTAAATTGATCACCTGGCCGTGCTGTCCTAAACCAAATTATACTCTTCTAAATTTGTTGAAATCAATGAGCTTAGAAGAAGGTAGCTCTCCTTAGGAATGCAGTGTTAAAACCTGCCTTCCATATCTCCAATCCAGCAGGACATGTAAAATTAACTACTTGTTTCTTATCTTTCCATATCTAAAATGTCCACAAACTCATAACACCTACAGCCAGGGGTCATTTCGTAGAAAAAGAGCTAGGGGGGACTCATTAGCATAACTCATTAGCATATGCCACACCCCCTGACATCACCGGAAGTGTGTCCTCTCCACAGCCGGCGGCGACCTCCAGTGGGCACCAGCAGGGAGCTCCAGGCCCCGCCCTCCCGCACCTCACCCGGGGGGATGGCGTCCCCCCGCGTCCCCCCCCCAAATGACCCCTGCCTACAGCTAAGGTTGTGCTAAACTGCTTTAAAACCCATGGGCTTTTTGAGTTTTTTCTCTCCTGGGGGAAAAAGGCTGAACTACTAGGCAAATATAACCTGAAGCACAGGGGAAGAAGCAAAAGCTTGTGTGAAGAAGTATTCTGAGCTAGAAACACGGAGCAAATCCACCTCAAGTGTCCCTGCTGCTTCTTACCCTATGCCAGGCAAGGAGCTGCAGTTTCTGCAGCTAGCCACCAAATCCACCTGACTCCTTTCTCCCTTTGCAATGCAAAGCAGCTTGAAAAGGCAGTATTGTTTTTGCTGTGACTTCTCACTGCTACTTTGAACATGGAGCTTGCAGTAAGCCCAGTGTCAACTTTGCTGCCACATACACCCAGACAACAGACTCACTGGACGTAACAACATCAACTACACCATTTTGGGCTCATTCACTTACTCATCTTCTAACATTGTATATGCCATTAAATGCCAACAATGCCCTTCAGTTTTCTACAAATGGGAATATAGGTCAAACCCTATGCCAAAGGATAAATGGACACAAACCTGGCATCAAGAATCACAAAATTGAGAAACCCAACCTGGGCACTCAGTGGGGGACCAAGTAGCTGCTTTACTGCAAAGGAATTTCAGAAACAGACTGGAAGGGGAGATTGCTGAATTACAAGTTATTACAACACTCAGGACAATGGAAACACCCCCCAGGGCTTAACAGAGATATCGGGTTCTTATCTCACTACACATGCTAAGTCACTCAGTTCTTGCTTATACCCAGAATTAAACTTTGTTGTTCTTAAAGGTGCCACTGGACTCAGACGTTGCTGGTGAATGAATTGGTGCACTTTCTTAAAGGTCTCCCTGTGTGAGTGGTGAATTGCTTCTCACATTCAAGTGGCTCTGTATACCTAAGTATACAACCTCCCCCCCTTTTAGAAAGCCAAAAAAGGTTTAAAATGTTGTCTTCTTTTTGAGTAAATATGGTAATACGGTGCAAAGCCAGTTTCATACTTCATGTACCCTATTAATTGGGAGACACCTAACTATATTTATGTTTGTTAGATGCCGGGTTTTGAATTTCCAGCCTTCCAAATCACATAAGAAGGTTCTAAAGAAGATGCTGAGATTCATAACACAAGGAGAAACTTCTAAAATAAATAGTGAAGGTAAAAAAGTGTCCTTCGAAAATGAGTGAGTTTTATGCTTTGCAGTGTGTGTTTTCCAAGGAGAGTAGGTAGTGTGTAAGTTATAGTGGGTAATAGCTGTCTTTGTTAACTGATGAATGCTGAATTCAGGTTGATAGTACAGTCTCCTGGTAAGAGTAAATTATGAAGTCATGCTGTCTGTAGGTTTCTTTTCTCATACATGTGGCACTGATTTACCTTGTATGGAGCAAGAATGTTCTTGTGTCTATTGTATAATTCACTATCTATGAGCAGAAGTGTGTAGAAAATAGTGTGTGGGGCACTGAACATTATCTCAGGCCATCTAGAGCCTATTGGTTGCTGAAATTCTTGTAAAGAACTGGCTGGATCTTGGTATGATCTAGAAAGGCATTTTTATGAACGTAAGCAGTGAAGCATATTTAAAATCATTTAGCACATAATAGCAATGTCTTGATTAAGAGTTCCTGAGTATGCAGAAAAAAGGGAACAGTGCAGAATGTGCACACTTGCTTTGTAAATTTAACACTTGTCATTGAACATTAGGTAATCTTGTTTTTAAAAAGTAAAATAGACAATGGCATATTCAGTTAATCAGTCTCTATTTGTTACAGTCATGGATCAATTAAGAATCTATATGATATTGACTCCCTCATGGATCACTGCCTTGACGGGGAGAGGGGGCTTGCATGGTTCAATGAGGCTGTGGGCTATGCCGTGGAGGGCCACCCAAGACGGACAGGCCACAGCAGAGAACTCAGACCAAGCGTGATCCACTGGAGAAGGAAATGGCAACCCAATCCAGTACCTTTGCCAAGAAAACCCCATGGACAGTAACAAAAGGCTAAAAGATATGACGCTGGAAGATGAGCCCCTCAGGTCGGAAGGTGTCCAATATGCTACTGGGGAAGATCAGAGGGCAAGTACAAGTAACCCCAGAAAGTGAAGTGGCTGGGCCAAAGATGAAAGTACGCTTCAGCTGTGGATGTGTCTGATGGTGAAAGGAAAGTCTGATGCTGCAAAGAACAATACTGTATAGGAACCTGGAATGTAAGATCTATGAATCAAGGTAAGCTTGACGTGGTAAAAAATGAGATGGCAAGACTGAACATCAATATCTTGGGAATCAGTGAACTAAAGTGGACGGGAATGGACGAATTTAACTCAGAAGACCATTACATCTACTACTGTGGCCAAGAAACCTGTAGAAAAAATGGTGTGGCCTTTATAGTCAACAAGAGAGTGCAAAAGTCAGTACTGGGATACAATCTCAAAAATGACAGAATGATTTCTGTCCGATTCCAAGGCAAACCATTCAACATCACAGTAATCCAAGTCTATGCCCCAACCACTGATGCAGAAGAGGCTGAAGTAGACCGGTTCTATGAAGACCTACAACACCTCATAGAACTAACACCAAAAAATGATGTCCTCATCATCATAGGGGACTGGAATGCTAAAGTAGGAAGTCAAAAGGTAACCGGAATAACAGACAAGTTTGGCCTTGGAAAGCAAAATGAAGCAGGGCAAAGGTTAACAGAGTTTTGTCAAGAGAACACACTGGTCATAGCGAACACCCTTTTCCAACAACCTAAGAGACGACTCTACACATGGACATCACCAGATGGGCAACACCGAAATCAGATTGACTATATAATTTGCAGTCAAAGATGGAGAAGCTCTATCCAGTCAGTAAAAACAAGACCTGGAGCTGACTGTGGTTCAGATCATGAGCTACTCATTGCAAAATTCAGACTTAAACTGAAGAAAATCGGGAAAACCATGAGGCCATTCAGGTTTGACCTAGATCACATCCCTGATGAATATACAGTAGAGGTGAAGAATAGATTCAAGGGTCTGGATTTGATAGATAGAGTGCCTGAAGAACTATGGACGGAGGTTCGTGACATTGTACAGGAGGCAGCAATCACCACCATACCAAAGAAAAAGAAATGCAAGAAAGCAAAATGGCTTTCTGATGAGGCTTTACAAATAGCAGAGGAAAGAAGGAAAGCGAAAGGCAAAGGCGAAAAGGAAAGATTTACCCAACTGAACGCAGATTTCCAGAGAACAGCAAGGAGAGATAAGGAGGCCTTCCTGAATGAACAGTGCAAAGTAATAGAAGAAAACAATAGAATGGGAAGGACTAGAGATCTCTTCAAGAAAATTGGAGAAATCAAGGGAGCGTTCCATGCAAAGCTGGCCATGATAAAGGACAAAAACGGTAGGGACCTAACAGAAGCAGAAGAGATTAGGAAAAGATGGCAAGAATACACAGAAGAACTATACAAGAAAGACCTCGATGTCCTTGACAACCACGACGGTATAATCACTGACCTCGAGCCAGACATCCTGGAATGTGAAGTTAAATGGGCCTTAGAAAGCATTACTAACAACAAAGCTAGTGGAGGTGATGGTATCCCAGCTGAGCTATTCAAAGTCTTAGAAGAGGATGCTGTTAAAGTTCTGCACTCCATTTGCCAGCAAATTTGGAAAACGCAACAGTGGCCACAGGATTGGAAAAGATCAGTATACATTCCAATCCCAAAGAAGGGCAATGCCAAGGAATGTTCAAACTATCGCACAATTGCACTCATATCACACGCTAGCAAGGTCATGCTCAAGATCCTACAAGCTAGGCTTCAACAGTACGTGGATAGAGAACTACCAGAAGTACAAGCTGGGTTTCGAAGAGGTAGAGGAACGAGAGATCATATTGCCAACATTCGCTGGATTATGGAGAAAGCAAGAGAGTACCAGAAAAATATCTACTTCTGCTTCATTGACTATGCTAAAGCTTTTGACTGTGTGGATCACAACAAACTATGGCAGGTCCTTAAAGAGATGGGAGTACCAGACCACCTCACATGTCTCTTGAGAAACCTGTATAAGGGCCAAGAAGCGACAGTTAGAACCGGATATGGAACAACTGATTGGTTTAGCATAGGAAAAGGAGTACGACAAGGATGTATATTGTCGCCTTGCTTATTTAATATATATGCAGAGTACATCATGCGAAATGCTGGCCTGGATGAATCACAAGTGGGAATTAAGATTGCTGGGGAAAAGATCAACAACCTCAGATATGCAGATGATACCACTCTAATGGCAGAAAGTGAAGAGGATCTTCACTTTCTTGCTGAGGGTGAAAGAGAAGAGCGCAAAATTTGCCTTGAATCTCAACATAAAAAAAACTAAGATCATGGCATCCAGCCCCATCACTCCTTGGCAAATAGAAGGGGAAGTCGTGGAAGTAGTGACTAACTGCATGTTCCTGGGATCCCAGATCACCGCAGACTGTGACTGCACATGAAATTAAAAGGCGCCTGCTCCTTCGGAGGAAAGCGATGGCGAACCTAAACAGCATGATAAAAAGTAGAGACATCACCCTGCCAACAAAAGTCCGCATGGTCAAAGCAATGGTATTCCCAGTAGTAATGTATGGCTGCGAGAGTTGGACTATAAGGAAGGCCGAGTGCTGAAGAATAGATTCTTTTGAATTATGGTGCTGGAGAAGACTCTTGAGAATCCCTTGGACTGCAAGGAGATCAAATCAGTCAATCCTAAAAGAAATCAACCCTGACTGTTCTCTGGAAGGCCAGATACTGAAGCTGAAGCTCAAATACTTTGGCCACCAAATGAGAAAGGAGCACTCATTGGAGAAGACCCTGATACTGGGAAAGGTTGAAGGAAAAAGAAGGGGACGACAAAGGATAAGATGGTTAGACAGTGTTATCGATGCAACGAACTTGAAATTAAGCAAACTCTGGAGCACGACAGAAGACAGGAGGGCCTGGCGTGATGTGGTTCATGGGGTCGCGAAGAGTTGGACTTGACTGTGCGACTGAACAACAACAATGATATTGATCTAGTGGACAATTATCTCTGTACTCATGTGGGTTAGAACACAGCGTACAATCCAAACGACAACTTTGTCTGATGTGGACCTTTAAATTGGTCATACTTAAATCCCCCCCCCCCCATTTAAAGTCCATATGCTGATTTGATGTTAACCTGGTGATGTTGTTTGTTGTGTCATATGGGCACATTCAACAGTTTTGTTGTACTTAGAATGCCTGGAATTTATATATGTCTGTGCAATGTTAAACTCTTTGGATTGACAATGTATCTGGCTGTGCAAGATACCTGTGAAAGATAGTGATGGCAACTGAATTCAGCACGTGAGGTTCTCAAGCAGTATGTCCCCCCCCCCCATTTTAAGCCCCATAACCTGCCACTTATTAATATTCAGAGATGACTTTTTAACATTTTAATTCAGACAGACTTCAAGATCTAGAAATCTGGCTTGGATGAATCCATTAATTTTAGCTAATACAGAGAGTTGCTTAGATCCAGCAAATGTTTTGCATACATGGAAAAGCTGCTCTAGATACTTGAAACAGTGACCAAATTTGTGTACCTTGCAGCTAGGAGCTGAACAATGTACAAGCAGACAGGCCCATGACTGTTGAGACTCCCCCCCCCTCGGTTATAATTTGGTTGTTATTATGCCAGTAAAGGTTGCTTGTTTGTTTGCTCCAGATACACAAATGCACCCTGGATCTTTCTGGGTGACACGAGGAACAGAATGTACAAACCAGTGTAGAGGTTTCCTTTGCACACACAAACCAATGTTGCTATCCATTCTAATTGTCAACCGCAAATGGACGTCCACCCCTAGATATGCGTGTTCTTCCCTTATTGTGTATACAAATTGTGATGATGATTAGGCAGGTTGCAAAATTCATCAGACAGTAAGGACCTCTGATAAATAATGCGCTAGGACTAGAGTTACAGAACTGGAGCAATGCAATGATAGCATATATACTATCAGAAATAGTTAATTGCTTTTTGAGTCAAGTTAACAATCGCATTCAAAGACAAGAGTGATAAATCTAGTATTCAAAGAGCTCCTGGGTTTTTTGTTCCATAGCAATAGTTGTAGAGAGATTTCATTTCATATTAAATAATAATCACATTGCATCATGGTGTGGCAGTTGTTCTTTCTACTGTGTTAACAGATCATTCTTATTACTCTTTACAGCAGAACCCATGGATTCCCACACAGAAGATGCTGCATGCAATTTTTTGGTAAAAAGTCAGCCAGACACCAGCCAGTCTGAATTAGAACCCCTCAGTACTTACACAGAAAAGGTGGAGAGTGAAGAGGAAGAAATAAAAGGACAAATAATTGGAAAGACAGACTCTGGACATACTGAATCCTGTAATGAGAAAGATAATGTCAATTTGAGCAAGCCATTGGATCCAGCTAAAGTTGGTCATACACCTCCCAAGCCAGGTAGTTGATAACAGTGGTTCAGAACAGGGACTGTAGCATGGGACATCTTAAGTTATGTGCATGTGAAATCACAGTCACATGACAGGCGAAGGAGTCAGTCATGGCCTTGCTTGTGGAGAGAGCTCGATGCTGCAAGCATGAATGGAGCACTGGAGGATTGATTGTTGGGGATGGCCAGACTCTGCTGGGTGGGGTGGGGGGAGTGAAGTCCTGAGCTTTACCAGAAAGGCATCAGCTCTGTAACTGAGTGACCTCACCTCATTGGCCTGCGATTTGCCTCAGCATATGTGCACGAAGAGGTATCCTTGCTTTCTGTTTGAGCACCTTCAGTAGACCTTATTGACAGGAACCTGTTCCACTGACTTTGAACTGTAAACTGCAATCACCCTAATATTTTGCATCAATTTTAGCACAGTTTGTGCTAAGAGAAGCTGGGGTCCCATAAGTAGCTATGGCAGAGGAAAACAATTTGTACATCACCAGCAGCCTCCAGATCTCCCTTCACAGTTCTATAAGATTGCAGTGCTTGAATAGATTAATTTTTCCTTTCCTCTTGTAATACAGAGCTTGATCAAGGAATCCCGATCTAGCAGTAACCCTTATGACAAACAAATGCAAGCACATAGTTTTACCTGAGTTAGTTTTCCACTCCCAAGCCAGGATTCTAGTTCTGGTCAAAAGCTGTATCCAAAAAAAAGCCCCCCGAAGCAACAGCAGCAAAAAGGCAGGAAGCGTAAGGGATGATTCTTAACTGTGAAATTTATTTCAGTCACAGTTTGGGTGTTGGGATGTTATTTCTGATTCTGTAATGCTAGCTCTGCAATTTTACGTAGCAAGTCCGCTGTGGTTTCAATAACCTTGTAAAAATTTAGGTGCAAAGATCAAGCACCTTGGTCTCTGAATGGCTTTGTCATCCGCCCGTCCCCCTGTCTATAGTCTGTTTTAAGCCTGGTAACATTGCTCTCTAGTGTAATTTAGCTATTATGATTCTAATTACGGAATCCAGTCCCTGGCCAACTTCATAGGATTATATATCTATTTTTACTCTTTGACAGTCGGAGTTAGCTTCATGTGTGAATGAGGAGATACTTATGCTGCTTAAAATTCTAAGGGAAAAACCCAAGTGCTGAGGTGCCTTTTCAGTAGCCAGATGTAGAAAGAATATAGTCAGTTAAGCTTTTGCTTGCAATATTTTTGCCGCCTTGTTAATTTCCCACTGAATGCATGTATGTTGTCATGCTAGGCAAAGGAGCAGACCTGAGCAAACCACCCTGTCGTAAGGCCAAGGATATACGGAAGGAACTGAAATTGCAGAAACTCCTTCAGAGCCAGACAGGGAACCATGCACTTCAAGAAGAAGCTCAGATCGCTCATAAGTCTAAGCCTAAAGCAAACCAGACAAAATCAGTTGAAGACTTCGTTTTTATCACCTTGCCTCCTGAAGCTGTGCACAAGTTAGAGGTATGGATACAAGTCATATAAATAAGTGGAGAGTTCTGGTTATTTTAGCAGTCTTAACTTTCAAGGCAAAGTGGTTAGTCTAATGTTACAGACAGGGGAAATGGTAGAGGGTGGTCACATTTAAAAAGGCTTTGCTATCAATTACTGGCTTTTAAAAGTGTTACTTTGCTTTCAAGTTCTTTTCCTAAGCTTTTATTAAGGTGTTCTGTGCAGGGACACAAGAGGGTGCTGTAGTTCCATCTGAATAGGTAACCCAACACATTGGCTTTACCTAGAAAAGGATAACCCTTGTGCAATACTATAGCCAAGTACTCAGCCACTAATTCTGTCAGCCTTCAGGAGGTTATTAAATATAGACATTTTGTGTTCTCTTTTGAAATGAAATGTATAGATATCTAGAGTTTTAGTGACAAAAGATGAACAAATTATTCTTAATTGATTAAAAGATAACTAATACTACTACATATCTGTACTTGTTCACATATGAACATGTTCAGTAGTGCTAAATGTTCTGGGGTGCAGTTTTTAAAGTCTGTATTTACTAAATTTTTTGCTACTAGATGACAGGCCAGAATTTAAAAATTTCTTATGTCTGTGTAATCTGAGAATTATTTACAATTCTCTTATGCCTGAGAATTATTTACAATGGAACTAATACAGATGCATAATAGTGCTATACTCTTGGGTGCTGCTGTGTGCACCAGACTGTTCTATAGAGAACAGTTTTGCCTTTTAGAATATTGATCGGCACTAGGTTGATCCTATGTATCTGTAGGGAATGAAAGAAATTCCATTCTGGATTTGTAGCTCTCTAGGGTACAACTGGGCGAGCAGGAAATGCTGCTCATTCCTTCCTTCATGGACTGAAATTTTTGGCAAAGGAAGGGGAAGCTATGGACACATGGCTGAGCTCCTCTTAAGAGGAGAGCCTCAAAAAGCCTTACTGCGGCTAAGGTTTGTAACTCTAGTGTTAAGGACCCTTTGTGGGTGAGAGTCACTTAAGGGAACTAACTCACCTTTCCAGTTGCTTCAGATCTTTAGGTGTTCAAAGAACTGGCTTCTTTGACTTCTGGAGCATGTGGCTTTTCCTGTTATCTTGGCTTATAACTCTGTACCTTATGAATGTTGACTGTTCTTTGGTTCCATTCCCCAAGTTGGTAATGTTTCTCCCAGTAAGTTTTCCCCTGCCATGTTCCTGTTTGAAACCTCTCTCTTGCCACATGTCATCTCCTGTCTCTGACCCTTTTCTTGCTTCTGCTTTAGCTTGTCTCTCTCCGACGCAGACGTTTGACTTACACTCAACATGACTTTTCATGCTGTTGATTTCCAGCTGCTATCTTCATGTGGCTGTGCTTGGCCATACAGTGTGCTTGCTTGGTCTCTTGCGAGGCATGTTCCGTAGTCAGAGCCGGATTCAAAATATCTATGTTTTTCTCTTGTACTTACTAAGACGCTGATCCAAAGTTAATTAAACCTAAGCCTTAGCAATAAGAGTCAATCCCTTAAACATGCATTGGCTGCAGAATTAGGTGATCTCACTTTAAAATAAAAAGCTTTCAGCTTATTAATTTAAAATATATCTACCCCACTTTTCCCATCAAAGTCCAAGGTAGCTTGTTTTGCACTAACAGTGCACTACCACTAGCTGCAAAATCACTGATTTTTTTTTGCAGTTTGGATATGGCTGTCTTATGAGAAACTGAATTTGCATTAGTCTAATTTTTGTATCCACGTGTAGAAACTGCATGATTTATTGTAAACGAGCTTATATTGCTGGGTTTTGTTTTTGTTTTTTTAAAGTATTATAAATCAATGATTATCAAACAAATGTAATAGTTACTTTACATCTAGATATTCCACTGCTGAAAGTACAGTGAGGTAGAAAATAAGTTTGCATCTGCTGATTACAGAATTTTTGTGTTAAAATGTACACAAGAGAATAATAGTTTAAAAGGTTACAAACTAGTGTCAATGTTTCTGTTGGGGGAAAAGTTTCTAGTTATTCCTGAAAATGTTTTAGTTCTTTTGTTGTTGTTGTTGCAATAATGAATATCTCTAATTCTTTGGAAGGTGAGGCTGGTGAGATCATCTCCACCAAGTTCCCAGTTCAAAGCCACATTTCAGGAGTCTTACCAGGTCTATAAACGTTATCAGATGGTTATTCACAAGGACCCACCTGATAAACCAACCGCCAGTCAGGTCAGACAGCATAAGCTTTATACAAACCCTCCATGTTGCTTGTGTTTATTCTGAAGCAATTGGGAATTACTTTAAAGCAATATTCCATAAACGCTTATAAAATGGTGTGAACAGAAGGGCCTGGGAATATGAGCAGGTTATACAGATCTCATTGGTGCCACAAATGATTAAAGAGATACAACAAAATTCACAATGACGTTAGTGATGTTCTGGAAAGAGGAATGGAGAAGTGTTTGAAATACACAATAAATTATCTAGATTTTTGAAATTGTGGTTCAGTTTCTACAGTGAACAGTTCCAGTAGGACTAAAATGTGTCAGGCAAATACTCACAAAGATGAGGGCTCCTTGCTGGTGGATGCTAGTCTCTTGAATTAAGTTCATGCTGGAGGTCCTATCCATAAAGTATGATGTACATCAGGAATGGATGGGGAGATTAAGCAAAGTAGTGGTGAGTGAGTGAAGGTGTTTTGTGTGAAAGTCTTTCCCTTCTCTTTCTCTCTTTACGTGGACTCAAGACTTTTGCTTTAATCTTGTGCTTCTGCATATGCAGTCCTTTATGTCCTCCTTTTCTAGTTAGCTTCTGTTCCAGTTGTTATCTTTGGTGACTTGTAGGATGCTGTTCAGCTCTCTGATGACACAAACAATAATTATCATCCCAAATCTGCTTGAGCTCCTCAAAATGCCAGACAGAGCTCAGCTTTACGTCCACTGCAGTCCTCCTTAACAAGACCCTTGTCCTTAATGCAGCTTGGTGCTACCTTCCAAAACACAGCATTTTTGCCTGCTGGCAGTTGCTTTTAACGTGACAGGCCTGGTTTCCCCATCTCTTGTTCCTCTCTCTTCACCTGACTACTTCCTGCCCATTTCCCTCACCCACAACTCAATTCTAAGCATTGTAACACCATTCTAAATCTATTGAAGTCAATGGGCTTGGAAGAGTGTATAATTTTAGGGTTACACTGACAGTATTCTGCCTGCAGTCATGGCAGAACACCAGCCTTCAGCATTGAAAAATGCATGGTTCTTTTTCAAAAAATAAAAGTGGCAAATAGTCACTTTAGAGAAGAGTGGTGGTTTTGGAATGTGTTAACATTTCTTAATAAGCATCAGTTGGATCAAAGCATTCCTAACAAGCTGTCTGTTGTAGGCATGGTGAATGTGATAGTTGGTGAAAAGGTAATTGTTGGTTTAAATTAAATTGTGTGGTAGGCAGAATGCTGTGCTAGAGTGACGGATTAGTAAAAATGTGTGGGGCAGTCATTTTCAAACTGTCATACTTTATGGGTAGTTCCTTTTGAAGTTGTGCATTCAACACTGTGCTCATTACAATCTTATTATAAACATCATATAGTGAAAGTCAGGGATGCACAAATGGCCCCTAGGGCCTAAAAAAATTGAAACCTGTCACTGGAACCTGGGTTGTTATACAGGCCAGAAAGCATGGTTGGTTCTCTTATTATGGTCCTAGAAAACCTTGCTGGCTTCTAAATTTTGTAGGAATATTTGTGCTCCAGTGAAGACCCCAATATTCACATTCACATGATGTGGCTCTACTGATGTAAGGATATTAGCCCTTTTTTCATGGCGCAGTCCTTCTGTGTTGTAGAAAAATCTAGTGCATGTTTACGGTGCACAGTAAGTTCACATGAGCAAGATCCGGTCTCTGGTCCTCAATGTTTCTCTTCATGAACTGACAGTGTACATTAGAATATACGCAGCACATTCCTATGGCTCCACCTTGAAGGACGAACATTGGAAGTAATGGGAAAGCTCAATTTAAAGGAAGCTTTTATTCCATTACCTTCTCATTGAGGAACCCTGAGGTTCTTCAGTGATTCACACTTCTTCATATTTTGCATAAAGTTACTAAATTGACCGAGTCCGTGGCTAAGCATGACGGCTTCAGCTACACTGAGATTAAAAATGATTCATATAGAGCAGAACCAGCCTAGCACTAAAAGCTTGCTATTGCTTCAAATTCTAATATACTTCTGCGGTTGTTGGGCTTTCTTGTGTGTCTCCTTGGCCAAGGCTTTGAAATGGATTTGAGGAGATAATACACTAGCCTTACCTTCAGGAGCATTCGAACATACTAGGATTCAAATAAATACTTGTGTTTTCATTGCTCTGAAGGTTAGGTTAGTACGAGTCTCTTTTGAAGACCCACAATTCAGATCATCTTTCACCCAGTCGGCCACTTTATTTGCCAAGTATCAGATGGCCATACACAAGGATACTCCTCCTGAATGTGACGAGGACCAGGTACAGTTCACTGCATATACTTTTTGTCCATGTTGTTGTTGGTATGAGTAATGATTTAGCTCTTCATTGTCATAGCAGAACAACTGGTTAATACGGCGCCATGGAGAAAAGAATGATTCATTGGATGGGTTTACATGCAAGATACCAGACAAAATTAAATTATTCAGTGGTTGTAGTTAGGGATGTGAAATCTGGGGAAAGGGGGGGGGTATGACGGACCCCTGTCACTCCCCCACTATCAGGCAGGTTTTCCTGCCAAAAGTTTTGTTCCCTGCTGTGACTGAGCAGCCTCAAGTTGCATGTTAATATCTGTGTCTTTGATAATCTATTTGTCCCACCCTGTTTCACAGAATATAATTTGACCTTTAGCTCAGCCCAGGAACTTTATGGGGAAAACAGGAGTCCTCTTGTTTTACCCTTTGAAATGGCACTTGAGATGGAATAACATTCAAACAGAAATCTTACGTTTATTTAACAGGCAGGGGATGAATAGGTGTAGTCAGGGGTTGGAAAAGCTGAGGTGAAACTTGTTGGCATTTCAAAGAATACTTCTTTTTAACAGGCAAAATAGTGATCTTAGGCTCATAACAGTGAGAGGCGTTTTACATAGTATTTCAGTTACAGCAGCAATGTTTCTTCAGAGAGTTTCCTATGACAGCGCAGTTTTCCTGGAGTGGGTCTCTTTCTTTGGGCACCTAACTCCTTTCTTGAGACTACACTTTATTTCTGTCTCCTGAGTTGTCTAAAACCATTTTCCCTTCACATCAGACCCGGAGTCCTCCTCAGAGCCAAATCCCCAGAGAAACCTGACAGGAATTAATCTTCTTCACAGGGTTATATCTTCTGTCAGCCCTTATAATGGTTAGCTTCATGTCTGAATGGATTTAATGTAACGTGTGGTAAGCTTTTAAACCTGAATCTGTAAAGTGGGTTTCAAATTGGTTTAAAGCTGGTATGGCTATAGTTAAACTCAATCCATATTACACCTCTCCTTATATATATAAGCCTCTTGGTGGTGGCACTCTCCAGAACATTCCACACGCTCCCAAATTGGTTGGCGCCCTGGTGTGTCACTCACAGGGCATCTGTCTCCACTGGTTGCGTTGCTGCCTCCCTTGGTGTGGTCCCACCCACAGAGGCGGCACCCGGCATCTCGGCCTCACTCTCCTTGGAGCGGGCGGACGGGTCAGATGCTCCAGCAGCCGGGTGCCTGAGCCTGATCGTGCCGCCAACGCAGTTGTCCTCGCCCGAGCGCAGGTAGCTGCCCGGGATGCATGCGATCTGATGACAGGTGGGCCGGGCGCTCCAGCGGAGGGAGTGAGGAGGCTCGGCCCGATCCTGCTGCTGCCACTTGCCCAAGCCCAGCTACAGGAGGCCTCCTGGGCTGCCACTGGGCGATGGACATGCCGGGCACTCCAGTGTGCAGGGTGGGCCCTCAGACTGAGGCCGATCCTGCTGCTGCCACCATGGTCATCCGAGCCCAACTACCAGCAACTGGAAGGGGGCCTGCGCGCCGCTGGGGCCAGAGGCTGCTGGAGGTGGCTCGGAGGCTGCCGGACGTGCCCGGGCGGGAAGCCGGTCACAGGGTGCTCCCTCACCCCTCAACTCCAGGGGCTTGCGAGGGGGGAGACGGCAGGGGACCGGGGGACCCTGCATTGCGCCTTTCTAGGGCTCGTTGTCTTCCTCAACAGTGGGCTTTGCTCTTAGTAATAATAATAAATGGCAAAATGGAAAGGATGGAGAACTTGAATGAACGACAGGAAGAAGGGGATTGAGGGCATGGAGCATATGAACAGGGTGGAGTGCTTGGAGCACATGAGCATGAGACTAGGGAGACTCCCAGTCTCTTAACCATGGTTAAGGAATCCAAAGCATTGGCATATGACTTGGTTCATCTGTGGTACTGTGACGTGGTTTGGCACTACAAGAATAATGTTCTGAAAAGGCTTTTCTCCTCTCCTTTCACACAACAAACTAATAAACTGCTACCTGATTTGGTGTTACATCCAAACCGTGGCTGTTACATGCAGACCAGAATTGCACCCCAACTATAGCTTTCATAACAAGTGCAAATCAAAGTTTGGAGATTCGCATGCAATGGAATAGCTTGCCATGCGTATGGAGAGAAGGGGGGGATTGTACAAGTTCTCAGACATCAAGATTTAGGTGAGAGCCTTAAATTAATCATGTTTCAAATATTTTCATCTAATTTATTTCATTTTTGCTTAAATGTATATTGGAACCATTGATCTTGGCTATTACAGCAGGCTACGATACCTTACATATTTTCTGGTAGCTGTTTCTAGAAAATATGGTACAAAAAACATTGTTAAAGTTTCACAGAAATTGCAGCCTCTCATTAGATTATGGCTATGTGCCACATCTCATTTAAATATTTTTAAACAAATATGTAAATTGAACACACATTATATATTTTTAATTTGTTATTTATATTGAGTTTGGGCTCATGGTGGAGTACACATAGTGAGCCAATACCATCAATGAATGTGACATTCAGTAAACAGTGCAATAGGATTAGGGTTGCAGAACCAACCAAAAGTCTAAAAACAGAACTGAAGCAAAGCTTAAGTATTAACAGGATCCATTAAATCATGCTAAATTCCATATCAGGATATGAGTTTCAGTGAGCTCTACAAAGTAGTATAGACCACAGTCCCTAATAATTTTTCCGAGTAGCTCTGTAAATCACTTAGTACAGTGCAACCCTGTTGCCTG